TAATTATTTATTGTGGGTTGAAAACCCTATATGCTCACCAGGCTCCCAAGCCTGACCCACTCAGTTTCTGCAACTCTTTTAATCAAAGGATTACTCTGATTTTATTTAAAAGCATAAATTAAATCGGTATTTTCTGGCCGTAATTTTGGGGATGTCACAACTATCAATAAATAACCAAACAGTCCCTGTACTTTTAATTAATCAAGTTAATCCCAAAATTAATTCCAATTAATTTCTGATTAATTATTAATTAAATAATATGATTTCTAATTAATATATTATTTTCAAAACACATTAATATACCATTTATTTAATTTATTATTCACATAATAAATTAATTTCTCTCTCTCTAAAAATCATTATGTCCAATTGTTAGGTTTGATGTCAACTCAAAAGGACTGTGCTACTATCAATTCAAGTAAATACCAATTTTAGTTATGAGCTTAGACACATAATCCAACAAAAACATGATAAACACATATACAAAACTAATATACACACTCAATTACGATCATCTCAAATATTTTCAAATACACGTCAGATGCATCACATGCTATATCGTATCCTAAGTATGTAAGTGAAACCGCTCATTTCTTTACGGTACTAACACCCCTTCTACGTTTAGCATCTGGTCTTTGCTTGAAAATATCATATCACGACACTAAAACATTACAAATATGTAGAATACTTCCCTACTAACATGAAAACGACGTTCAAATGCTTCGTCATTATAAAGACAATTTTCGGCAAAATAATCACATAACAAAAGTTCATGTGCGGCTTACCGATCTCGATTGTTAAACGTTATTGTATTATTATCATTATTACGATCTTCACTGACAATATTTTGATTAATATTAAATAATGTTTTGATAAACTCTCCATCATCACCTAATTTTTTTAAAATAATATTTCTCGTGTTAAAAAGTATAAAAAATAATGAGCTTAATGTGTGAAAGTGGTATGATATATATATATATATATATATATATATATATATATATATATATATAT